CAAAACCCTAACTATCCAGCTACAATTTAGTAAATAAATGAATAAAATAACGAAGACGGTATTAAAACAAATTAAAATCAAAGTAGCACTGCCATATTTTGGCCGCCCTGTATATAATTTAATCAATATTTTGATAACTCTAATAATTAATTAATTATGATTCATTATTATTTTTTGTTATTTAAATTATGTAGTGCCGATATATTAATTTACTTATTTTGTTGATATAACTATATTTATGGAAAATAGTTTTATAACAAATTGATTATTTTATTTTAGTAAAGCATTTCATTTTGTAATATTTAATTAAAAATTCAATTTGTAAATGAATAAAATAATTTTACTTTATAAAATAATTTGAACAAAGGTATGCCATATAATACTAATATACTACAATACTGTGTTTCAAGCCTATATAAAATGGGACCAAAAATAATAAACTTATTATTAGTTGTTATAAAATATTTGTTGTTTTATTTTTATAAGTATTTTTAAAAATAAATTATATTGTTATGTAGTGTCGCATAGCTATGCTCTGTATATCTAATTTAGTATTTAAGGTAAATGTGTTTGTAATATAGCTATTTAAATAATACAGTACTATTATTATTTAAATGAATTAAAAACTAGTCCATTTAATAGGATGATTAAATAATTAATTGATTGTTAAAAAAATATAGTTTAAAATTACATTCAATAAATAAATTACAAGGTTAAACAGCTAGAATAATATCATAATTATATAAGTAATTAAACTATTTATTTTATAATAAATTTCACAATCTCTCATTGTTCAGTAATTTAATTTAATGTTAGATATATAAGCAAAAGTTGTTGTCATAAACTAAAATTACTATTTTTTAAAATCAAACATATCTAAATAGTGTTTTTTTTGATATTTTTAATTAAAGTATTCAGCAAGTAAAATTAATTATTTTATTAATTTAGTTTTTTTTATTTAACTAAACAACATATATTTTACATCGTAAATCGTTCACAAGTACGTAGGTAATATTTTAACATGATAACGTTGTTGATATTGCTATTTCATTTATATTATAATATAACATGTTTATTTTTAGATAATGACAGAATTAAAAACAGCCGAGTTCAAATACAGTGTAAACGGCAACTCAAAGCTAACATACGAGCAGCAAAAGTTTTACGATGACCAGGCTTATATTGTCATTAAAAATTTAGTACCCATTGAAGATATCGACAAATACGCGTAAATTTTTTAAATATTTTTATGATTAACTATTGAATCAGAATAATTAAAATTTATAAAAACTCAAGTAAACGCTTCGACGATATCGTAAATCGGAGGCTACCGGTGCCGCCCGGGCTTACCGTTCAGAAGGAATACCAGAGAGTAAAGGACGAACAAAACGCGCAGACTATTTATAAAATTCAGGTATAGTGTGATCAGTTTATATTTATAGTTATGCTTGCTAATTTAAGAATATAAAACTTTGAGGTTATTCAGTAAGTTAGTACATACAAGTTATTATTAAACATCATGTAAACATATCTGACCTCTTTCCTTTACCCATTATGTATTTATTTAATGAACAATCAATATTGTAACGTCAACATTATGATCTGGACACTCTACATACTTAGGACCTATTTGTCGATGATGTCCTATTCGAGTATTGCAAACACCCTAATGTCTTGGACTATGTCGAGGCCTTCATTGGACCCAACCTAATGGCCATTCACAATATGCTGATAAACAAACCGTCCGATTCGGGGTCCAAGTTAATCAGCGAAGAAATGGTCCCGCGGGAGTGGGACTACAGTGTATGGAATGAGGCACGGGAGTGGGAATCCCGTACAGCAACTTCGGGAGTGAGGTCCCGCATTGACTCCCGCATTAGCAAAAGCATGTGTATGACATACACTTTATGTATGCGTTACTGTGAGTCTTCACTCACTCCCGCGTTATATAGCACTCTAATAGCCTTTGCATTATATAAATAAGCATTATATAGTCATAGTCTGTCGCTAACATAGCACAGCACTGACTGTATGTGTGTTATAGCCTGTAGTAAAGGCCCTGTACGAGGTATGTTCGGGAGTGGAGGGAGTGATTCGGGAGTCCAGCCAAACCTTATGTGCGGGAGTGGGATTCCCGCAAAGAATTTTCTGAGGGAGTGTTCGGGAGTGGGAGTGAAGCCAATGCAACATTTCGTTGGCTAGTCCAAGTCCTCCCGGCACCCATTACACCAGGATATCAGTTACTTCCCACTCAGACCTATGGACGGCATAGTGTGCGCGTGGACTGCAATGGAAACTGTAAACCGAGCCAATGGGTGCCTGGTATGCATACCGGGTACACATAAAGGTGCCCACCTCGAGCACTGGTACCCTGAATGGGACGGTGGTGTCAACAAAGGGTACTACGGTGTAAAAGATATGCCAGCGACTGGGTATGAGCGTCGGGTGCACTTGGAAATGGAGGCCGGGGATTGCATATTCTTTCATCCGTTGCTAATTCACGGGTCGGGCACTAATAGGTAACGCAGGGTATTTGTATATCCAAAAATCAAATTGTATATTTCAACTTTGTTGTCTTATGAAAGTATGGTTGAAGTATACGTTTTGATTAATGGATATACAGTAACTTATATCTGTGCTGAGAAAATAAACCCATAATGAGCTTTGAGTCGAAAGCTTAATACTATGCTTACGTGTGTAAAGTATAGTAGTTTTCTAAGAAAAGCTTTCGATTCACAACTCATCCAAAATTATAGATTCGTATTCTGAATACAGATATAATATAAGTTTAAAAATTTTAATTTCATATTAATGACACCTGGTCACCCTATCCCATAGGACACAAGGCTTTCGCAAAGCAATATCGTGTGACTACGCGAGCTCCGACTGTCAGTACATCGACGTGAAGGGAACGTTGCACGAGAAAATGGCCGATGAGATAATGGAGCATGTTAATAAGAGCATCATATTTAACCAAGAGTACGGCAAACAGATCACAAATTATTCCGTAAGTGATTTTTCAGCAAGCTAAATTTCTATGCAATTTTTAAACCTATGTTAATTCATTGACAGTTATTATTCAAAACACGCGCACAGCTCGTGAGGGGAATGCGAATCAACGTGTGATCCGTGTTATGAAATACAAAGTTTTGAATTTTTTTAAAAATTTATTTTAAAATATTGTCATTTTATTTATTAGATTAAATAAATGAAATATTTTCTAAGAAGTAAGATTTTTTGTTTCTTAATTGTATCATTTAATAGAAGTTAATTAATATGATGTGAATTTCTATTAATAGTAGTTTTAAAATTTTCATAAAACTAAACCCAATTTAAGTTTATAAGAGTTTTATTATTTGAATGATTTTCTAGCAAAAGGCATCAAGTCTCTATTTTAAACTTGGGTAATATATGATATAATTTTGTAATTCTAATATAAATTAAATAACCTATATAAGTTCGTAAAAACTCGAAAATATTAATGGGTTAATAATATTAATCATTTAATGGTCCATATATATGTACTGTTATTTTATAATTATTAATTTGTTTTTAATATGTTTCTGGTAAATGTTGGTCATTAAACACATTTATGTACTGTGCCAGGTGTGCTTAGTACTATTTTTTAACTCTTTTAAATAATAATATTTTTATAATATGTTACAAAACAATTGGTTGGTTGGACTCGCATTTACTAACACTAATTATACGACTATTATACCCGTGCCACAGATTTACGGCTCCGTAAGGCTAACACTCTGACCCCGTAGCTCCTAACCAGGCTAACCAACCTACTGGAGGGGATTTTCAGATCTAAAGCGGCGGGTTTGATGCAAAGACTCAAAGAGTAGAGTTTTTTAAATCATTAAATATAAATAATAATCTATTCTAAAGGACTGTGAGGTTCCCAGTGCACATCAGCTACCAGTCTGTGTGTGTGTGTGTGAGTGAGTAAGTGA